ATCCCTCAGTCTGTTTGTTCTGGTCCGTATTGACCTGAAGTGCCTGCCTGAGGGCAACAGGTTGAAGAGATGGAAACAGACATGCTCAAAGCAGAACCACAAAATAGGATTAAGCCATGTTTTTCTGCATTTTTGTTGTTTCTTTAGGTTACACACTATATACCATGATGTTTCTGGAGTTTATTATTTCACTGCGTTTCACAACAGCTATTTCACCCATTGTAGTGATGTGTATTATGATTTTCAACATTTTGCGATGCAATATGTGACATTTGAATTTAATTAACACCATTGAGCCTCACCTGTTTCCGAGATCAGCTGCCACCACTGTTAGAAATAGGTTTGGCCTTTGACTAGGCCAGTCTACAATCAATCTCCTGTTGGCAAGTCAACCTTCCCCCCTGCCCCAAGTCTTTTGCAGCCTCTATCGTGTCTATTAGTTATTGTTCTCTGTTAAGCTACACCAAGCTTCCCATAAATTCAACCATCTTCTTTACAAAAAACATAAAAACCCACTGCAACATGTTGCTCACATTGTTTTTTTTTTTTTGTGGTAGGAATATTGAGTCATGTGCAGTGTTAGACCTTCACCATACATAGTATTGTTTCAGTGCCATACAGTGGGCCATATAGTTCAGATTCAGTCTCAGATCTCCTTCCTCCTCATATTTCTTTTGTCCCATATATATAGAGATACGTTGATAGATACGTTGATATCCATTGGAGATTAGTTCTTGATAACTTACGCATAAGTTATGCACAAGTTACTCATAGGTTTTAGATAAGCTGGACGCCAAGACTTATGAGTAACTTACACTTAGCATATGTCAATTATCAAATAACTTACCATACCTGTAACTTATGGCCCAAGTAAAAGCATATACTGGCATACCTCTTGAAATGTGGAACCCTCAAAATGTCTTGCCGTATGTTGACGTGTGCCAGCGTGCTTTAGCGTGCTTCACCATGATCATAACTTATACAAAACTGACCCAAATAGAATGACACAAAATACAACTGAAACCAATTGCCTACAAAACACAGAATGACACAAATCAAAGTGCAACTGAAAACTGAAAAAGAAAATGTAAACAGAAGCAAAAAGCCCAGAAAGGGCTGACACCTTCTTTGATCATTGCGGTCCTTGCCTAGTTTTTCAGCACAACTGTTTTGAGAAAAAAAAAAAAAAGAAAAGTTAGATTCTCGTCCATAGTGCTAGATAGGAGTATTTCTGCAAATTTGTTTCTGCAAATAATCAGAGAAATTCAGTCAAGGTATATGAATAAAGGTTTTTATGTAAAACAATTTAGCATGCCTGATGTTGGAATTATGCTTTTTAAATTTTTTTTACAAACTTTTTATAGGGCAACGAAGTTGCATCTAGCAAAACCTGTAAAATAGCAAAATACTATTGTTTATCATGCCACCATACTTCAGCGTTTAGTCTCATCAAAAAGATAAAAGAAACTCTCCATTGAGCCTTTGATGTAGAAAGGTTGCCCTGCCATCTGCAGGACAATCCTTGTCAATACTTTTGACCTGTTTCTGCTTGGGTTCCATCTGGTGTATGGGCCAGAAATAAAATCTAAATATTGAGAAGCAGTAAATGTATAATATACAAGCTAGTTAAAGATTGTACATTAAGTGTTTTGTAAGTGTAACTCCTCCTTGGGGTACGAATAACCCAGAAAGGGAACCTAGTCTAGGTTCAGTGAGGGGGCTGTTTTTATTTTGACCTGTACAAAGGTTCAGATATCCACCCCAGATAACATACTGGACAACAGATTAGCAGCAATGAATAAGATGTATTGAATTTAGTCATGCATAACCAGTTGACTCAACATCAAACAAATAAAAGTCCATCAAGTCCTTCCTTCTTATACTCAACAATTTAAACCACTTAAGGACTAGAAAAAAAATCCCCCTGAGATTTCAGGCATGAACAAAACTCAATGTCCAAAAAATAAAATAAAAATATTCATTGAGTGCACTCAAACCTACAAACCTCTAAATAAACACTGTCCATTAATGGCAATTATTCCAGAATAGGCAATACGAGGGGAGACAGTGCGGCCTGGCAGGAGATCCAGTCATAGTGGGAACCAATGAACAGGCTGCAGCAGCCAGGTACGGACTTGCTCTTGCTAAAATCTCCAAAAGGAAAAAAAAAACTGCCTCCACAGATTTATTCACTAAAAAGGTTAACATCTAGTTTCCCAGATCCCTTTTAACTGTACTAAACTCATAGGAACCTCATTTACACATGCAAAAAACACATAAAACAATTATTCCCCTCAGTATAACAATAAAGTGGTTATTCCAAAAATTCTTGCATATTGGGGCAACTAACAATGCAACACAGTGGCATCTAGAAAAATACAACTCTAAAATATAGTTCAAGACTGATTATCACTTTCATTCTCTTAGTCCCCATGGAAGGTTTAATAATCATTCCACCTTCATAAAAAATATCACAATATTAACAGCACAAGTTAAATAAAATGCACATAAATCATTGCATATTTTAACTTTTGCTCAGTTAACTTTCTTTAAGCC